AATTATTTTGTGTGAACTGCAGTTGCAAATTCAGAGGAACCGGGGCTACTTCATGATTTGTTTCCTGTGATGTGGATCTCACGCCTTGACAGTTAGGCAATTCCGGACATGGTGTTAGTGGTGTTATATTCTCCGAGCTGGAAATACTATTGCTCACAGACGTTTCGTAGCCATGTTAGGCAACATCATCAGTGCGACTTCGAGGAAGCGTCAGTCCCTCAGTGTGATCGGGCTGAAAATGAAAATGACCACAGATTTATTCCTGTCAACGTAAATTAGTTAGTTCATGCTAAACAAACTCATTTCTTGTATAAAGAAGTGGTTCACGATTTTTTAAAATAGCATTTACCAATTTTTTTTGTTTGCAAATTAAATGTCTCGGTACAAATCTGTTTTGCCAATCGGAAGATTTGGGTCCTTACTGGTGACAAGGAACAGACGGCAATCACGGTCAGTCAGGCAGCTGGACACATTCCGCACGGCATGAGCATTTTTCGAATGACTCATTGTGAGAATATTGGATCGGCCGCGCGACGAATTTTCGAATTGTTGGAGGGTTTGAATGCGATTTACTCGGAACTATGTCCATCTGGCAATTCAGCTGACGGTCTGACGGATGTGGCCAGTCTGGACGAGATCAATGAAGTGCTGGAAACAGCTGCACAAGCTGAAATTCTTCATAAACTCCAAGTGAGTGGTGTTTCATCAATCGGCAAAGATCATCAGGATATGGCCACCATTGTTGCGGAGATTGAGAAATTGAGAGCATCTCTGATGCAATTTACTAATCCGAAAAAGCGAAACAAACGACTGTTTCGTCGCAAACTGGGGGCATATGTTCCTTCGGCTGGAGTATCGATGGGACTTGTCATTGATGGTGAGAGTTTAGCGTATGCGCTTGAGGTAAGTCATGCACGATTGTAATCGGCTTCTGGTTGCGTTTCTCCTAATGGCCCGTTCATCTGTCTGATGCTGAGGATTTTTTTGTTTTTTTATAAAAGTTACTTCATGTACAGAAAAAATGTTGGAACTGAAAGGATGGGATACATTATGGTGTTTCGATCCAATTTACGGGGAGTGGATTCAACTCGTTGCGTCATCGGTAGGACGCCACACATTATCCACAAGTAAATGAGTATACGCGAAATGAGGCAAGAATACGAATAGCTGAAAACGAGCGTGTTCGTCACTCTGAGCAGGTCTGTGTGTGTGTGTGTGTGTGTGTGTGTGTGTGTGTGTGTGTGTGTGCATCTCACTCGGNATGATTACAACTCACAAACCCCCGTCCACACAAACCCTCCTGAATCGCTGGTGTTTGTGTTTGTGCTGGAGTAGGCGGGTCGCCTTGTGTTGACCTCTCGCTGCTTGTGAAAAACAAGTTATGACTGCAAGATGGACAAAACACATTTGGTCTGAATGAACGCTTCGCACTTGAGTTTTAGGGGAACGCGACGAATTCAAACGTCATATTCCAAACAAAAGGAAAAGTAGATCGATTCAAGTGTGAAACAATGCAAAGAGCGTTTTCTTCAAATTGGATAGACCAAGATTGGAACAACTGGTCCAGAGAGGAATCCATTGACTACAGAGGAGTTGAAAGATAATGTGAAATTGTTGGTTGTCTACAAACATCCAGCTAGGTTCTGGCCACAATGGATACAAATTGAAGTATTTCAGTTTCAGTTTAGCTAAGTTTGAACAACTATTAACGATGCACTTTCGTGCGCAGGTTTTATTTACTGTTTTTCGGCTGGCCATTTGGATGAACAATAGGAGAAAGATAGGAGGGTTGAAAACAAAGTCGAATAGAAAATGAAGAATTTCAGTGGACTGAGGTTGCAAAGAAATTGAGAAGTTTCTCTAACGCCACTGATGACGACTCTCAGCATATCACTCAGTGTCTCTAACCATCGGTGACCGTGATCTCGGGGTCCCCTATCGAGGGAGCCTAACTGGACCTGTGTGAGCCCGTCTCCTGGTTAGGGTTTTCACACTCTTAGCTTGACCACCCTTGACTTTATTTCACCCACTATCTGCCTCGGCAAACATCGCACGCAGTTGCAACCCATTTGGTGACATGCGAAACACACGCCCCAACCGACGTAATCTATGGAAGTTGACCATTTGCTCCAGTGGGTGACCAAGGTTACCTAGAATTCTACGTCTAACCTGAGCATTATTCATCCGGTTGCCCCACCAGATTCGTGCAACGCTGTGTACACAGCAGCATTCAAATACTGACAGTCTATCTGCATCCTGTTTCATAAATGGCCAAGTAGTACTCGGGTATTTACTTAGGCAAAGCGTTCACACAACACCAATCTGTAAAATATTGGACGGCACATCTGAAAAACACACTGAAGTTTCTCCCCGTCGATTAGCATTTCAGAAGGGTTCTGTACAACACTATTTGACAGAAATACCACAATAGTGCGTACACACATACATAGGCATTCACTCATTTCAATCGCTACTGCCAGACTATAGCTACCAACCCACCTGGCTCTTCTCTAAACTATCCAAGTCTATCAGGGGACAGGTGTGTGTGAACCAGCCTTGAAGCTGTGGTCGTGAATGCTTGATTGTGTGATCAAAAGAGCCAAAACTTGGGAACTGCAGAAGTATTGCTATAGAATATTTTAACCACTGGTTATGTGACGCTGAATTGCAATCGGGACTCAATTTCTCTTGAGGGGGTTGAAGGGATAAGGGTAATAGCTGGACACTGCAGTACACCGCTCATGAAACATCTATCGGACAGTCAGAAATCAATCTGACTTTTTTGCTCGATCCAACGTGAATGGACCGAACCGAGCCAGGCTGTTCCTGTGTGGCTGGTGGCATCACCACCTATCAATCGATGGACTGTTTAGCTACAAGAATAAGCAGATATGCAATGATGGCTAAACTCGCTTGGCGGATATCCTATTGTAAAGAAAAGGCGAGCTGGCTGGGAAAACGTTTATTGATCCAATTCAAAAACAAACAGGGTATGCGTTCGATTATATACAGTCAATTCTCAACCGCGCGGCCGGATGATTCATGCCTCTTTCTGTGGGTCATTCCTTATTGGTTTTGGTCTGCAATTGGCACGTACGTTGCCTCTTCTTCCGCGTGCCATTCCGACTGGTTTGACCCGATCGCGGCGCGAGATGCGTTGATCGACAGCTCCGACGTTGTGGCATTCGGTGGGTATCTTTCCCGTTAGCTGCGGATTGTCTTTCGGGCTGTAATTGTCGGTTCGCTCGTTTCGGGTGGCAGTCAACATTGTCTCGCGAGGCGCTTCCCGCCGCTGCGTCTGCGCGTCTGGTCGGATGAGCCCCATTCTTGCTTCGGTCGCTAACCAGGACTCTCTTTGAATTGCCTTCCATCACACTATGACAACACGTAAAGTAAATCCAATAATGAATGGTTATTCAAATCAATGACGTCATCAAGCCTCCAGCTGAGAGGAAGACACGAATCACCTTTCCTCTTTGTGTCGTATACTATGTTATGCGGAATGGTATATTCTGCTATGTCTCGTCAATCAAACCACCCAACTTGATTTAATCGGAAGTTCTAATAGAAAAATTTATGGCCTTGCTAAAGAAACAAGCTAAACTTCTTTATCGTCGAATATGACACATAATCAGCTCGTTTAATTGAAAGCAAAATTATCGGGAATTCAAAATGGCTCTCTCAAATTCTTTTTTATAAGAAGTTCATCGAAGCCGCTCGTATAGAATCCGGGTAACGTTTGATCGATTACAAAAAGATAACGCTAGTCCAAAAATAAATCATCCAAGTTGACTGTCACATTTATAAGCGAAGTAGATTATAAATCTATTTACCAATTCTCTTGTCCGTAACTTGGTATCTTTAGATTGAAATACTTAAAAAAATAGTTCTCGCATTGTTGTCAGACTGCTGTTTGTTCCATTCTCTCTCATGATTAGCCCCATGCAATGCGTGACCCCGTGATGTTCACTGTCTGCCCTAAAAGAAAGGGCACAAATTTCTCAATATTACCGTACTTCAGAACAGGAACTGTTCTGACACTGGTTTCTGTGCTCATCACATAGAGAGCGCGTCTTAGTGCTTGTTCTGCGCGAACAATGGCACAGAGCGGAATGTGAACTTGGGCACAACATTCACACAAAACACGTGTCTCTAAGCTTTCTTGTGCAGTGGAATTGAACACAGGTGTAAAAGTTCATATTTCAATGTGTGTGTGTCTGTCAGGGTTCTCACTCGTCATATGGATAACTCAGCTCTCTGTCTCCTCCCCCGTCTCTCTTTGTGCATTGTATCTGTGCTTATTAACATTTTATTATCTACTTGAGTTGTTTTCTGAACAACAATCTGCCTCTGTTTGTGCAACAGCACTTATGAGAATCACAAGAACGCTATTCTTAATTTCAACTATGACCTGATGAAAAACGTAAGCATTAGAATCCATGTGGTCAAGTTGTGAAAGTTTCCAACCCAGTCATAACCCCAGAGTCCACATCTGAGATGAGCGGATTGCGGTGCTCATAACAAGCTCGTTTAGATGTGTCATGCTTTACCAAAATTAGAAAACGGTCTGATCAACTATCCGAGTAGGTAATATGCTAGCGTGCTACCTGTGACGTCTCGGATTCTATCCCCTGTCCGGTTGATAGATTTGCTCACTGTACGGGTGAAACTCAACCAGGTCGAAACAACTGCTCAGTAGTACTTTCCAGCTTTTCATCTCATACCCCATTTACACGACAAATTCATAAGCCAATCCATGCAAAGTTGAAGTGTTTAGTGTTCAAACCAGTGATGCGGTTTTGCCGAAGGTCATTATCAAGTCAGCTGATTGTTGAAAAGCTAAATCAAATGTCCAAACGCTTGCAGTGCGCCGCCAGGATGATAGTGGTGGATAGTGAATATATAGTTCCAAGACAAGGTTCTAGCTTTTTCGCAAATGTAACTGATAGCTAGTTACTACTTTAGTCCGGTATCCTAATTAATGATTGATTGTCATTATATCCAGCAGCACAACCTTTTGTAACCAGATCTCTCAAACCGTGTCAGGCACCTGCTTGTTCTGCGTACATACAACAGTTAGACAATGAGATTTTAATGTGAAATCCTAGTGGTTTTATTATGTAACACACGGGTGTTGTCAAGAAATTGTCCGGTTCACTTAGGGGAGTTGGTCAGTGACATTCAAATGCGATGGAAATGTTTGTGATGACCGACACAAAGAGCACTGGACACAGCTGTTTCTTCCTGTTTGGTACGTCAGGCTTTGCATAGTCAAAGGTTCCAGTTTTGAATTGCCCAAGAACATTCGCTTGTGTTGACCTGCGCAATTTGCAGCA